CCCCAAAACCCCAAAATCCCAAAACCCCAAAACCCCAAAACCCCAAAACCCCAAAACCCCAACAAAGAATATTAGATTTGATATAAAATAAATATGGAAAATAAGGATTTCCGTCTTATCCAGCATGTAAATATGGAGAATGAGTGCTTAAAGCTCCAGATATGTGATGCCATTCAGAGAAATTCGTAAGTCTTTTAGGCTAAGGTTTGATCTTGGAAGTTGATGCAAATAAGCAGAGAATTAATATGATTTCATTTAGATACTATATGCATGACTTCTATGATTTTGATGGCTCAGCCTTCAAAATTATTAATGAGAAAGACGCCCCACACAAAACTATGCTCTGCTTCACCTGCAGAGGCGCCCAAACTATCCTCGACAACGGTGGACAGCAACTGCTCGAAGACAAATACGCAGAGTTTTGCCTTGGAGATACCCATGAAGGCTTCGAAGTTGTCCTGACTCTGGACCCAGCCACAAAGCCTCAGAAAGTAAAGGCTCCTTCAGGCGCCTCAGACGAAGAGAAAGCCAAGATTAAGGAAGACAACGCACAGGTCAAGATCAAGCTTGCCGAGCTTGCTGACGAAGTCGCTGGGAGATGGTGCAGGCTGAAGAGCGAGTTTATGGGAGCACCCATCAGAAAAGCTCTTGTAAGTCTCCAAGAAGATAGTAAAGATAGCTATTTTGTTGAAGTTCCATACAGAAAAGATGAAAAATATTGGGTCAAGAAGCAAGAAACAAGCGCATTGTTTTACTACAATCTTAACTTTACTGACCCCACAGACATCGCTTTAACCAGGATGATGTGTAACGAATTAAAGGACACCAAGAAGATATCGACGCAGTCAATTACAGTAAATTATCAGTCCAAGGTTTCCTTAGCTGTCGATTTAGTGGCAGAGCTAGGTCTTGACCCAGAGAAGAGCAAGTGTGGTTTGATCTCCTTCACTCTGAAGAAAGAGCATATTAAGAAAAACTTAGAGACAGCTTGTTACTTCTTGACAACGTTTAGGCAATACGTGGAGTTCCATATCAGGATGGTAAAGCTCTTATTACACTCGAGAATGAGAAAAAGAATTTCCAAATTCGAGATTGTCTTCGCTAAGTCATTAAGAGAAGGACTTCACAAGAAGATTGAGACAAAGACATTCATGAGAGACAACAGGTCACGCAAGCCTGAAGAAGAGAAGACCAGCACATCATCTAGAATGAATGAGGAAGAGTACACAATAGGGTAATGGAGAAACAACTATCCAATTCACCTATTCAATTCTTATTTATCCCTCAGGGGTTTTGGGGTTTTGGGGTTTTGGGGTTTTGGGGTTTTGGGGTTTTGGGG